GTTTAAAGAATATATAACACTTTTGGTGCAGCTATCCTTGGAGAGTTAGGGAAGAATCACCAAATTGGGACATTTTAAAGGAAATGCCAGGTGTAATATTTTGGAGGTACTTTATTAGATCTTTTTCTTTTATTTTATGGTGCGGCCCTCTCTTTTATAGAATGTATAGAATTGCCAAGAATTTTGTCTTTAATTTACAAAGTCTCTATTTCCAGTAGTTGCAGAAAAATGAATTGTTGGGGAGCTGTCATTTTGAATCTGTTGGCAGTCTGAAACAAGCTCCCTGATGAATTAATTTTCCCCTTCATCTTGGTGGGTCTATTTTGAAACCTTAATATGTAAAAGCCCATGTCAACTTTCATCAGGATTAACTTTCTGCTCTAGTAGTCAGTGGAACATGCAGCTACTATTCAAATTGCACCTGAAATGCAAAAAGCAGGAAAAATGTTTTGCTTCCTTCTGACAACTTCTGTGGCACAACTACGTGGTAGAACGAGGCAATTAAGGCTCAAGTGTCTGAATATTGCACTGACGTCTGCTTTTTCCCCCAAACTTGTGATCCATGTATTCTTCTCCATTGTCCCGGGGAGCAGGGGTCACAGCCTGGCTCACCATGCCACCAGATTTCCCCTGCCACCAAACTTTGACTTGCAAGGAGCCCCATGGGCCAGATGTGATGGCTCCTCGGGCTGCATTTGGCCCTTGGGTCAGAGGTTGTGCACCCATGGGTTAGAATATGGAGTGAACCTAGGTTGTTACTGACTTTATATGAGGAAATGTGCAGGTAAAATGAGTGGGGGAATGGAGAAAACTCATTGGTTTTGAATAGGTCCAGTGTCCCAAAGACAATCATGTTGTTCTGGTTGGTGGTGGTTGGTTATTTTTGCACCAACAGGGTTTTGCAGGGTTTTTCTAAATTCTCCTTCTAGGTTCTAGCACCTTGCTCAGTGCATTGGACCTTTTGGCACCCTTAACCAGGTAACAGCCCACTCTTTTCAATGGGGAACGGCACACCTACTGGAAAAGGGCTAGGAGCGTCATTTGTAAATGGTAAAATAGTTATTAAAAAGAAATTGTAACAGGATTCCCTCCTCCCCCCATTTCCCCTCTCTTCCATGGACCATGATCCAGGTAGGGATTTACTTGTCTCTAAAAGATATGTCAAGTACAGGTTGTTTGCCTGGACTTGGGCGCCTGGAGCTCTTAGGCACCTGGAGCTCTTATAGTTAGGGCCGGTGCCTAGAGATACACTACGAAGCAATCGGAGCAGGCTGCTGGGGTAGGTTGTGTAATGTCTGAACTGGAATTGGCAACGCCTGGATTCCACAATCATCTGCTGCAGAGGCTTGAAGCGTATCATTCGGTTGCCATAGAGGGTTCCCCTGACCTGAGATTCTTTAGGAAAAAGAAAAAAAAAGCTCATTAGTACAAAATTCTGCCTTCCCTAACGTAATTGTCATGAGATTAGATGCAAGGTGAGACTGGTGTAGTGACTGAACAGTGCTCTAGTTGGGACTACCAATCTTAATTGCTTTGTCCTTGTTCTTTTTAAGTGGGATTTTTGTTCTATAATATGGGTAAGTCTGGCTGCAAAACCCATGTGAGGCCATGTGCACTGAATGCACACGTTCACTTCTAAGCATTTTTACCTGCTTGGATTTTGATTCAGAGATCAAGGACTGATCTTGTTCAACACTGCCCAACCTAATTCTTTTTTTTTTTTCTTTCTGTATGATGTATAGCTTTGTACTTCCTTTCAGCAAGGCGGGGAAGAAATGTTCACACTGATTTGAGGGCTTCAAGACTTAATAAAAGGAATGTCTTGCCATTTGAGTCCCTGTAGTCTGGGTCAGAGTGTCGGATTATGTGCACTTTGAATCAGATCTTTAAAAGGGAATCGGTGTCTTTCTCAGGACCTTTAGCCATTAAAAACAGTTCAAATCTCTCTCCACTTAACTCTGTCAATTCTGAGATGAAGTCCTCAGAAAATCCATTGTTCGTCTTGGAGTGTAGCGCAAGAAAATTGCTAAGAACAAACATTGTTGCTTAGCCATTTTATGAAATCATTAAAACTGGCATTTTACCTCCTCTTTGTTGTATTGGTTTAACCCAAAGATCTGTTTAAAACTTCCTGAAAGGCTGTCTGGTATCTTTTAAAAAAAAATTGCACTGTAATAACAATTGAACTGGTGTAAATGTATATAAAGTCATTTTTTGCATGTGTAAATATGTATATATTTATCTGATATGGTTAGTGAAACAATAAATGGCTTTTTTTATAATGGCTGTGTTCCTTTATCATTTCAGAAGCTGCTGAAATCCATCAGAAATAGGGGAGTTAAGCCAGGGCTGCCCAACTTGTGTCTAGCTTCACACTGCAAAGGCTGCATGCCGTGCCTCGTGCCCTCCCCGTCTCCTGGCACTGTGTCAGTGCTGCCGCATCATGTTTCTCCCTGCCACCACTGCACTGCATTGACATCATGTCAGGTCCCCTGTATGCTGCGCTGGGGGTGGTCCCTGCACTTTCATGAGCCCCCAAGCTGCGGACCCTCAGCTCTGGGTCATGCTGTTCTGCCCCCTGGGCATGGGTCAGGAAGCAGGATAAGGGAGGGGGAGCTTAGTGATTCTAGTGATAGCAGCTGGAGAGCAACAGCGATGCTCATACTGGGAGCTTGGGAGCCTCAGTTTACTCCTTGGGGGACAGATATGGCTAGTGAGCCACCAACTGGACAGCCCTGAGTTAAGCTATTAATCACTGCCTTACCACACATGCATTACAGTCTTGTAACACAAATAGTGTTTGACCCAGAACATTTGGAGAATAAGCTCAACTTCTCTGTTTGCTAAATTGAAGCTGTTTCACTTGTCACTCTGAGCTGTTACATTTGTGCTGTGTATTGTCATACAGTGAACTGAATGTGAAGATGGTGGATGCTGTCATTGAACATGGAGATCCTCATTAATAGAGCCACTGAAAACAGGACTGGACGAAGCACTAAGGTGGTACGTTTGAACTCACAGCTTATACAGCCTATGAACACAGATTGGAGCCGTATTAATGCTAGAGGCCAATTTGTGTTTTTTAACCAAAGTCACTGGTTATTTTCCTTCTTGGATTTTGATTCAGAGATCAAGGAGTGATCTAGCCCATGGTATTTTATTATGCAAGGGCATATAGAGGAGAGATTTTTTTTCTAGGTTTCATTAAATATGTGTAGGAGTCTACTTTAAATTGTGGTTTGCAGATTTTGTGGAAACTGCAAAATCAGAGATTGTCCATGAAAGCAACAACAACAAAAAACGTAATAAAAATAAAATCCTGGCTCCCCAGTGGGAGCCGGAGGTCCTTGCTGCTGCTGCTGCCCAGTTTTGCGGCCTGTCTGGGAGGAGAAGGCACTGGCTGGCAAGGCATCATGAAGGGAGGTAAAAAAGATGGCCACTAGCCCCTCATCGTTCTCCTTCCCAGCCCCCGGAGCTTCTCTGCCAATTGGTACCAAGGGGTGGGGCTGCC